GTAGCAGTTACTACCATCTCCTGACAGAAACAGTCATCAGAAAATGGTTACAATATGGAAATAAAGGGGACCTGTTATACAAAATTAGCATTTAGCAGGTTTTTATATTCTTCCACTTGGGTTTCTACAGCTTCTGAAAACAGGACAAGCGACTTAAAAACCCACTCAGTTGTGTTTTGGCAATACGTTCATGTTTTTTGGGGTCTGAAAAATTGTTTCAAAAACTTCCGGAATGTAACGTCACATTCAACTGGTGCTGCGCCGTTGCCTAGCAACCCCAGTGGAACCCAACCCGTCACCTAGCAACCCAACCGGAGCTCCACCATATTGTTTTAAATGTACTTTATTTTGAACAAATAACATTTTTAACACAATGAGTAATGTTATTTTACATTAAAGAAAAAACAATAAAGGAATACTTATCCATAAATCATACAAAATAACTCCAAACATTGGCAATATTGGCGTTAACGTTTTGCAAATCCACAAAGTAACATAGCTAAAGTTAAAAAAAAAGTTAAATACATTTATACATAAATGGGTGAGACAAAATAGTGTACATTTTAGTTTATACAAACACTATTTTCTTAACAAATGTGCAAAAACACAATCTGTTACAAGGGTCTGTTTAAAAAAATAACATTAAAAAAATTATAACAAAGGTGTCTGCTTATGAGGTAAAGTTTAACTTACTGAGAAGAGTTTGGGCTTCCATAAGTTTCTGATTATTTAAATTACGTTTTAGAAAAGCTTAATATAAATAATCACATTTCTTCATCTGGTTTCACCACTGTATTCACTGTACAATGGCTGCTGGAAAAGATAAGTGAAACCATTTGCTGCAGTCTTGTTGGTTGTGCAGGAGGCTCTACTTCTGCTTTTCACAGATGTATGGTTGCATACATTCTTTGTAGCTTTTTCAATGCCAAGTGTAAGCATTGATTTGGGAGGCGTGGCCAGTACGGGATTATCTGGATTTAAAGTGACAAGATGCCTTAAAACAGCTCATTCTGAAAGGAGCTCAAAATAGGCAGACTGACTTTGTTCAAAAAATGTAATGAACATATTTTGAACAGTTCAGAGATTCAATCCTACTCAAAATTACACCATCGCTAGAAGACTGAATCATTGGTAGGTCGCCTGTAGCTGAAATTAAGAATTGTTGGACCAAGCAACAACTTTCTCGTGTTTCATTTTAAAATGTTTGTAAGATTTTGTAAATTGTAGCTCCAGTTTTTGCTGCAAACTGACAGGAGTGGCACTTAGCTGCTTTAAGGTTCACCCTGCTCTGCATTTAGAAATGATATTTCACATGTCTTGGTTGCAAAAAGTGGTTATTTTAGCTTCTGTTGGCTTTTATTATCACTTTGTAAACTGGTAACCTCCATTCTCCTATGACCATCAACAAGACATTTCCCTGCGTACAACAGCTGCTCACGCTCTCCGTTTTTCGCACCACTCTGCAAACCTGAGAGATGGTTGTGTGTGAAAATCCCAGCAGATCACCAGTTCCTGAAATAGTCAGACCAGTCTGTCTGGCACCAACAACCTTCAAAGAGCTACAAGCAACTGAACCTATTTGAGAAAATCTGACTGACTTCAGCATTTAAAATATCAGGTTTATATTTAAAGTCTAACATTATATTGTTATTTGCAGGTCGACACTCCACTACACAGTGAAAAACAAAATAAAAAGGACTTTACTGTAACTTTTTAAAACCAACCAAAGCCTTATCCTACAGTTTCAGCCTAAACTGCAAGCATATGTGGATCTCAGTACTTTTATTTTCTTAAACCTTCAGACATAGACGCACCACTACTTCTCGGAGGAAAGAAAATACTTTCATTAGTCATACAAGACAGAGAGAGAGCTCATAGCACTTAGCACAGGGCAGGATAATAAATAAATAAAAGGTAGGATTACGAGGCTAAATGGAGGAAATCAAATTGCCTGACACAGCAGACACACACTGACTGAAGAACTTAAAGGGCTTTTCACAAAGGTTATGTGTGCACTACAAATAATGGCCACTCACTCATGTAAATAAGCCCCATGCATACAAAATTATGCATAAAAGGTAAAATATCATCAACAAAACACGAGCAGAACAACATTTGAAGAGAGTGACGAAATAGCTTGAACTCAGAAAGGGACAGCAACAGTTATAATCTTCAGAAATAAGAGGATTGAAGCTGACAACTAACAGAATTAGAGAAGTTAGAGTGCACTGAAAGCCTGCACTCAGCATTAATGCTCTCAGAGGACCAGACGAATGGTTACAACAGACAGATGAAGCTTTAGAAGGAAAAGAAACGACTTAAAAAGCAAAAACTACCTGTAACTTCAGGTCTGTATCCTAAGAAAGAAAACAACCACTGCAATCAGGACGGTTTGTAACATTTCCATAATGTTCCAGTTTTATCTGATTTGAAGTAACATTCATTCATTTAAGAAAATGTCTGTTGGGTTTTGGGTATTGCTCAAATTTCCACTGGTCAGGTTAAGTTTGTGTTAATTGAACTCTAGTTAATTTGTTTAGAAAGTTCGGTTGGGGAAATGTGAATGCGCAATCGACCTCTGATCCGGACAAAAAAGACAAACTGTGGTCCGCCTAAAAAGTCTCGGTTTAATAAAAGTGAAAGTTGGTGTGGTTCAAATGCAAATGTGAATGCCAAGAAGACTGGAGACAGCTCCTAAAGCAGGAAGTGGACTAGAGTGCATGGCATTCTGGGTAAATACAACCGAAACAAACCCAAGAAAGAAATGGCTCCATCTTTTACCAAACACAAAGCAAAGATCCTACAACCACTAAAATATGACTATGCTCCATTTTTGTTTACATTTCATGAAGAAAGAAGTCTTTCTTAGAGTGTCATTTCCTTCAGCGGTTCTTGGTGCAGCGCCACCACAGGCGAGGAGGGGAACAGGTTGTCTTTATACTTTGGTTCATTTGACAAAGTGCAGTGTGAAAGCAAACCGCAGCAGCTGAAAATGTAACAAACGTTGCAATTTTGGTCCAAACACCCGAATACAAACAGAAAAAATAAATAAATTAAGACTTTTCTTCCCCCTGGAAAAAAAACAACAACTCTGGGTGACGGATGATTGAAACAAAATAGACCCAGAGTGGTTCTGCTCCTGACTGCTGGCTGCCATGGCAACCGCTCACTGATTGGTCAGGTGGCTCTTTCAGCAGAAAAGGACCACAGAGAGACGAGCGAGAAAACGAGACTGGAGATTAAAATACAGCAGAGGACAAGGCATAAATGAGACGCTTGTAGAGAAAGCTGAAAATCTCTGATGGGAATAAATAATGGGATTTATTTTAATCTGATGCATGGATAAAGGCAGACAGAGCCAGACCCATAAGTGCCTCTAAAACTGTACCAAAAAGCTGCTATTCAATGCCATTTCTTAAGGCCGGGGAAAATAAAATGCCACATGAGTTCAAGCTTAAAAGAAAAGCATCCAGCTACTTCAGAAATGCAAAAGCATTTAATAATTTAATTGTTTTTGGCCTTGAGTGCAATAAAAACTCCCCTGTCACCTGCAGAAATAAAGGATTTTTATCTAATTTTTTAGTCTACATGTTGCATATGAGCTGCTTTTGTTGCAAAATTTGGATAATTAAGGCATAAAGAACAATGGTGCCTTTCCAAATAAACAACAGAGTATTATACAAGGATTTTTGGTCTAGTTTCTAGTGAAAATATCTTTGTATACTTAAAATAAGACGAAACTAACTTACAAGTAGCTTTTCAGCATTAAATAGAAGTTTGTTTTAGATAAATAATTCCTTATTTTTTATTTTAAAAAGCACTGTCAGATTATTTCACTTATTACATGATGTGGAACAAATACTTTATAAACAATATTAGCTATAATTTCCTGCTGAAAACTTACTTGTAAGTTTGTTTTGCCTTATTTCACTAGAAACTAGACCAAAGATACTTGGTAAGATTTTATATTTTTGCAGAAATCCAATGCCACAATTTTCAGCATGTCTAGTAACTCCTTTAAATAACTATAACTAAATTACTTTTATGATGCATGTTTCATTTTCTTTAAGTTAATCAGCTTCTCTAGTATTTGAAATTACTAATCCTTTGATATGCTCTTATTTTCATAAGTCTGGACTCTAAAACTCAACCTCAAATTGACAGGAAGAGCAATAAATAAATAACGGTTGTGATAAATAAAGCTGACGAGAAACCAGGTGCAAAAGTCGATACCAGATCGTAGCTTAATATCTTCCACTTGCAATCTGAGCAACTAAGAGCCATTTTTCAAGTACAGATACAGCAGATATGATGTTACGGTGTTGATTTAGAGATGAAGAAAACGGAGGAAAACACGAAGCCATTAGTGGTGAAAACGCTGCAGGCTGAGTGCCAACAACAGGCCTCCAGGATGTCATTGATTTAAAGGGGCAGTATCGATTAAAATCAACGTTTTTATGCTTTACTTCATGTTGTAATGTTATTCCCTCATCAAAAACAAACCTGGAGTGTTGCTTTGATTCATTCATGCATGTTTGAGAAGTTATTTAATCTCCACGGCAACCATTGAAAACGCCTGGGTGGACTTAGCCCCGCCTTCTAGACGCAGCTCCTCCTCAGAGCTGCAGTTTACAAATTTAACTTTACGAGCTACTTCTCTGTGAAACGCTGGTAAAGAGGTTGTTAAAGGTTGTTCCAGCAGCCATGTTGCGATGACTTCCTGAAGGCGGAGTTTCGTAAAGAGCAGGAGTTCTTAAAGAGACAGAGGCCCAATTTCAAGGCGTTAAATTATGCCACTTCTAAGTGGCGTCCTGAAGAAACCCATTTCAAATGGGAATGTTTTTAAGAGCAGTGTTTCTGTTTGTGGCACTATGAACACCATGTCATGCAGACACAGTTATACAGCTACCTAAAAAATAAGTAATTTAAGTAGTTTGTCATTTTATAGACGCCACATGGTAACACATAGTTCCATAATACACATATTTATATAACCTTACCGTATTTTGTGACAGCTCCCCGTTGTCAAAGTGACGCTCCACGTAGTCTGTAGACAGGAGGTTGCTGTAAAGTAAAGGTAAATTAAACGGTTATAAAACACTGCTGTCGTTACTCAGTTAAATTTAATGATTACTCTGGGCTTTTTTTAGTCCAGAATAAATATTAGAATCTATTTATTCTAATAGATTTAAAAACCTCTTATAAGCTTTTATTTATGACATTAGAAGTGTTGTGTCGCCTGCAGCTCCAGAAACAGAGGATGTACAGAGTGTGGGGGAGTGTAAAGCAGAAAAATAACAAATCTGTAAGAGACGGCTGTAAGGATACGATCAGATGGGTCACAGGCCCAGTTTACTTACTGGTTCAGCTCCAGGTCAAGGGTGAAGGATGTGCCAAATGCCTCGACCAGGAAGCTGCTCTGGGCCAAATGGATGGGCTAGGAGAGAAAATAACAACAATAAACGGGAAAAATCAAGAAAAATTCATTTAAACGTTTAATTCAGTAAAAAAAAAAATAAATAAATAAAACGTTTGATTTAATTCAGTAAAAATAAAAGAAATTAATTAATAAGTTTGATTTAATTCAGTAAATTTGTAAATTTTAACTATTTTTTAAACTTAAAATTAATTAAATTAAAAATGCAAAAGTTTGTCTATTGTTAGTTTTGTTATTTTTTTTCCTAAATGGTATGGAACACTTTTTGTATCGAAATAAAGGCTTTCTATTTTATGTATTTATTTATTTTAGTTTTAACTGCTCAACAATAAGCAAAATTTTATTACATTTTTACATCATTAAAGATTCACAACACAAAAAGGCTTCAGACTTTTGCCTTAACCCGACAGTTTCAAGACTTTTTGGGTCATTAATTGTTGACCAAATTTTTTACCATTGTTAGCCGGCGGGCAGCGGCCGAACAAATACATTTGAAGGGTCACAAATGGCCCGCAGGCCACACTTTGGACACCCATGATATAATTTAAAAGTTAAATGAATTTTTAAGTGGTTATTAATTAAATTTAACATAATTAATTAATTTAAAAAAACAGATGAGTGCTTCTATAGCACCAAAGTAAATCCAGAAATATTATTTCATGGATCCAAAAATGAACTAAACTACTCTGTTTATTGAAGCACAAGAATAAAAATATATATTTTAATAAAAAATTATTGCTATCAGTTCTAGATAAAATGTTAAAGGAAGAACTATGATTTCTTTGGATGTCTGGTTTCGGTTTTACCTGATGCTTTATAACCAAAATATTGTTGAACTCGATGACGATCTGTGGCGTCTGGAAGAAAAATATTTGATTTTTGCAGGTTTGTTCTCTTACAGATTAATAGTTTTTGGCATGATTTTGTTCAGCCTCTGACCAAAAAAGAGAAATTGTGTGTTTTTCTTTTGGTAAAGCAACAGTCTGAAGTGTGATAAAAATCACAAGCTATTTTTTTTATGTTCAGTTTAATGAATTTTGGTGGTTAACTTGATTGAGATGATTTAGTTTTAAACTGTAAAATGTGTTTTTTTACTCTTCAGTAATTTTCTGTTTCTCTCTGTTCATCAGAAACATTAAAATTAGAGCGATATTCCTCCGTCACCGGGGAATTGAGTAATTATTTCCTGACTGTAGGAGAACCAGGACTGGAATAAGTAGAACAGCTGGAGTTATTTTATCACGACATTTTTTGCTCTGCATTGTGGGACAAAATTCACACAAATGACCCTCAAAAATAAAGGAGTGTGAAAACTTTGTGTATTTATTTTGCTTACATACTCATATACATTACCTATTAACAAAATATTCACTCTCTTGTATGTTTTAAACTTTTTTATTTTGCTTTTAAAAATCAATCAAGAACAACAAAATTTGGCTTTTTAGACTAAATCATTTGCTTTTTTGGTTTTGTGAATTGTTGCTATGTAAATAAATTAATAAAAAATTTCTTCAAAATAAAGAAAATTTAGTGTTTAGTGTTAATATTAATTTTTGCCTTCCTGGACCTACAGCATTATGCTGCCACCACCGTGCATCACAGTAGGGATGGTGTGTTTGTTAAAGAGGTAAATAAATATGCAACACTTATTCTACTAAATAAATGTCACTATTTTGGAGAAATAAATATTTACCTCAATGTAAATGGGGATTTTTGGAATATCTTTAAATTTAGTTTATTATTACTGTTTATGGGCAATGTTGTTGGAATAGTTTGAATAAATTACTGTTTTTGTTTACACTATGATCCACAAAATCTTACAAATGGCTACCAGAGTGTCTTATAAATCAAAAAAGACAATATATGGACAGTATGTATGTACAGGATGAATTAAAAGATATTCACAAAAATGTGGAGAATTTGTAAAAAGTAAGAATTATTCCTGTTATGTGCAGCAGAGCAGAAACCTTTAAGATTCAAAACCATGAATCTCAGGACGGCATTGATCCCAAATAAAAACTCACTCCAACGACTCACCAATTTGTCAAATATTTCACGCTTTCAAAAGAAAGAAAGAAAAGGTGACTAGGGGATGTGAGAAAAAAAAGTGACAGTGTGGAGGAGTGAAGGAAATGGATAAAATCTGATTTTTTTGAGGATTCACAACAAACACTGATGAGGAAAGATGTCCAACAGTGATCACTCTCTTTCCAGATAAAAACTCTGCTTCAGAACAGCAGCTAGCCAACCACCTGTTACCTAGCAACCCCAGCCCGTCGCCTAGCAACCCAAACTAGCTCCAGCATGTTTGGTCAGCTGGTTTTACCGCTGTATGGTTGTCCAATGGCTGCTGCCAAAGAGATGCGTTTTGTTGTTGACTTGCTGCATTCTTATTGGTTGTATAGGAGGCTCTACTTCTGCTTTTCAAAGATGTACAGTGGTATAATTGCATATCTGCTTGCATCCATTTTCCCATGGGAGTGTAAATGTTGAGTTGGGAGGAGTATTATCATTAATGCCAAGTAGGGCTGAAATGATTAATAGGTTTAATAGAGATTTATCGATTATTGAAATAATCGTGAACTAATTTAGTAACTGATTAATCACTAATGCCCCTTTTCCACCGGCTCTACTTCAACCACCCGGCTCGGCCCGGCTCGGCTCTGTTTCGGAGAGACCGCGTTTCCACCGGTGTTCTATCAGATAGCCCTACGCTGTCAGGATGGCCTACATGCAGTGAGTATCTGTAGAATGTGACAGTTTTATTTAAACTGATTAATGGTCAGAATAATTGATCACTAAAATAATCGTTAGCTGCATTAATTTACTTTTTGTAATAGCATTTGCCAGGTTTTCAATAAATATATGTTGTCTGGATGAAAACAATGAATTTGTTTTTAATTTTTCAAATATCTGGGTTCTATATTTACAATGAATCCAAAGCAGAAAAAAGCATCATGGATGTATTAAGAAATATACAAACTTATCCAGATTCTTCAATCAAATTCCCCAACGTTTGAGACTTCACATGAAAACTAAAACAAAAACAGAGTCAAAAATGTTTTACTATTTGGCACCTTCATTTAAATTCACATGTGATGTGTTCTTTAGTTTCATCAACAAAGTCATGAGACAACATGCTGACTGCAGAGGGCAGCTCAAGGTCAGACCTGCAACGCCGACAGTGGGGAAAGGAAAGGTAACAGGAGACAACAGGTAGAGGTGTGAAATATAATCTAACAGGGTGGAAAGGAGCAAGAGATTGAAGTGGAGGTGGGCTGAGTTTTTCTTTTTTCTCATGCAGGAGGTGTGGTTGGAGAGAGAGAAAGAGAGAGAGAGAGCCAAAACAGAGTGTCGCTTTTCATTGCAGTTTACAAAGCAGGATATGCAGGCTGCAACAGCGTATAGGGTCACTGAAGATAGAAGAAAAAATTGTGAATTTCTGCTAAAGAAAACTCTGAAATTTTGAGATTAAACTTTAAACTTTAAATTAAAGTTTTCCAGAAAGAATCTGGAAGTCTGAAAAGATGAAAATTTGTAAGAAAAAAAACTCAGAAATTTTCTAGAATTTTTTTTTTTTTAATTTTCTGAACTTCAAAGTTAAAAGTTTCCAAGTTTTGAAGCTCAGAAATTTCCAGACTTTCTCTAGAATATTTCTGAGATTGATCTCAAAATTTCCGAGTTTTTGGCAGAAATGTACTAATTTTTTCCTTCCTACGATGAACCTAATGCACCATCGCAGTAGACTGTTCTTTACTCATTTGTTTACATGTGTTATTTATTAGGGATGCAAATAGTTAAACAACTTATGATTAATTGTTGATTAATGTTTCTTAATTTTAAAATTAGTTTCTATAACGTTCGTTTTAGAGACCTTCGTTCAGTGTTGCAGTTTGGCCGCCATGCAGCAGAGGGCGCCACCGGTCATCTTTACAGGAGCCAGTTGGAAACAAGATGGCGGTTATCCCGAAACAGAAAGAGAAACGGTTGCAAAATATAATCACTGGAGAAGCTCCTTAAGTTATCGCCTTCGTATCGCTCATTCAGCCGAGATTCTTGACCAGAAATAACTGATTTGCTGCGATGTGATGAGAAAAGGCAGAGGGCATAACAGAAAAATTTCAACGTGATGGGGGCGGGGGAAGACGTGATTCAATTTAACACGGTTGATTTTGCGGACGTAAATGCACTAATGGATTGACGTTTTAACATTCCTTCCAGTATTTAATACAGATGACACAAAATAATTCAGAAATCTTTTTTTAGCATATTATGGAAAAAAATTGCCCTTTATGTTATGAAAAAATCTAAAAACTCAGGTTTTTAAGACAAATGGCAGCTAATTGTTAGTCGATTGACTCAACTTTAGATTAACTCATTAATTGACAACTTGTTGCATCCCTATTATTTGTGTAAGTAGAAAACAGTGGTAACTTTTCCTGGGAACAGCATGGCACACCACAGGCGGAAAAGAAAAAGTTTTCTGTGACTTTGCTAAGGTTTATTTCGTGCCCCTTTAATGGAGATGGCCGACCTCTGTGGCTTGCGCAGAGTAAATTCATTACTGCTGCAGACAACATGCGGCTGATGAAGCCAAGTTGGGGATCTGAGTCTCAATTTGTGATTCAGTGAAAAATTATAGGCAGTTTTTACTGTTTTTCCAGGAAGTCTGCACTGGATTTGATGTTCACACATTTGGTATAAAACCATAAGTACTTTTGATTAAGAGTCATAAAATATCTATTAGTGAAAATTGTCTTTTACTGTTTCAGGGAATAAAACAGACAGGAATATGTGATAAATCCTGGGAACAATTAGCAAATTCCACTGTTCTTACTTGCAGAGTCATAATTAGACCAATTATGCCAAACAAAAACTTCTGTTTCATTTGTAAAAACACAGAAAAGGAGCATTTTTAATTCTTTCTATGTATTCATGGAACATCTGAATTACTCTGGTTTAACATGGCAAAGAATAAACTAATGTCCGCAATATAAATTTAATAACAAATGTTTTTTTGTCATGAAATAAATTAATATTCCATGACAGAATCACACCAGTGGTAAGTTAAAATATTGTTTTTTTGTTGTTATTAAGTTGAAAATTATGTTTTTATTTTAATTTTCATTAAATTTCAACATCAGAAGGAAATGTACACATCTTCTTTTCTGTTACCTGAAATGCACAAAGTAAGGATATTTGTATGCTTAACTACATATTATTGGTATGGATGCATGATATATCGGATATATTGGCATCAATATCAATATAGAGCGATATCAGTAAATCTGTAACACATCGGTATTGGCACCATAAACAAAACTGGGCCAGTATTAACAACCAATATTTATTTCCAACTTGTTGCCTTTTTGTAAAAATGTCAAAAAAGTAGAGACATATATATAATATTGTCCAAAACATCTATATTAATATCGGATATCGATCCAAATTTTTATATCGATGCAACCCTAATATTACCCTACAAAATTCAAGTGTAGCATGTTCTCTTATGTCTTTTTTTAATCCTGCAGTTTTGCTTTGTAATTTCTGCCACTTCCTGGAGAACATTGATTTCTTGGTTGTGTTTTCATCAACAAAATGCACTGATTAAATGAAAATAATGGTGTGGTTCATTTATGAACACAGTTGTTTGTGTCTCAACGTTCTTTGCATGTGAAAAACAGATCCAATTTCATGTACTTTTGGCACAATAGTTGTTCCATACACAGGAATGTGCGCTCAAAACCACAAATTATTTTTTGTTTAGATAGATGTATGCGCTCACATCAGTTTCACTGCACATTCAGACTGGTTGTACTGCTTTTGAGCAAAACTGCATGAAAAGTGGGGGTGTTAAAACATATATGAGTCTAAAGCTGACCTGCTGAATGCCATCTGGCAGGTTTCTGACCCGGGTGTCCAGGTGACCGTGCAGCAGCTCCTCCTCTGAGTGGATCTGTTGCAAGAGCCGCTTGGGTTGGACGACCTCCTCTGCAGAGGGCAACCTCACCCATTCCCCCACACCTGCTTGGAGGACAAACCAAAATGAAAAACTGCCCCAAACACCCCATTTATCTCCGTTTTTAATTAGATGCATGTGCAAAAATGGTGGGTAAATAAAATAAATCCACGTTTTTACCTGTCTCGGCGTACCTCGCACAGACTGCGGCGAACAGCAGGCATCTCACAGGGATCATGATGCTCACATAGTCCCAGTGATTTCCTCGGAGCTGCGCCGTTAGATGACCCGCCAGGAGCCGAGAGGAGCGCAGCGGGACTGATGCTGAACACGACAGTGGCTTTCCTCTTCTCTTAAACGCGACGCCCGCATTTCGCAGAGACCGTCCCCACGGTGCGCGGGGTGAAAACACGCGGATGGGGTTTCCTAAAAACGCACCTGTCTGGCTTTACGCGCGTGTGTCGGCTGCTAAGAGAGAGCAGGACTCAGCGCGAGGAGCGTGGAGAGACGCAGCACGTGCGGCTTTACGTGCTCCCCCACCCCCTCCCTACGTGGGGAGATGAGCCCTGATGGGTCTGAAACTACAATCACCTAAACATGATTGACAGAAAGGTTGGCTTTGCCAGAACATCCCGGATGAACTGATTCACCAAAACAAAAGCACCAAGTTACCATGGCAACCAGAGGAAGAGCGGGTACGCAATCTGAATATCAGTAGAGAAAATGGAAGAGTAAAAAACGTCCGCCAAAAAGCTAACAAATATTGAGATTGATCACAAAAATTATATAAAAAAGAGGTAATTTCTTAGTATAAGTTGAAAAGTTGCTAAAAAAAAAAAAAAAAAAAAAAATTGAGATTCATTTCTGAAATTGTTGAACATTTGGTGGAAAAATGTCAACATTTTTAAATGAATATCATAAAATTTCTAGAAAAAGCAAAGACATTTCTGAGTTTAACTGCTTGAAAATTCGGTGAAAAAAATTCTAATTTTAAAATCAATCGCAGAAATTTTCTAGAAAAAACAAGAACATTTCTGAGTTTGAAAAGTAGAAATTTAGCATGAAAATAAAAGTCAGGAATTTTTACATTAATTTCAGAATTTTCAAAGAAAAACAAGGAAATTCCTCAGTTTCATAAGTCTAAAATTTGCTAGAATAAAAATTAAAAAAATTCCCAAGTTTCTTTGAGAGAAGTTTAGTGTTTACTCTTGTATTTTCGACTTTCACTTTTGCAATAAAATTTTACATTTTGCAACACGTGTTAAGGCCAAAAAACAAGAAAATTTATGAGTTTGGAAAATCAAAATTTTACTTGGAAAAAAATCTGGAATTTTGAGACTAATCGCAGAAATTTTCTATAAAACGTGGAAATTCCTGAGTTTGATCAAATCTTGGGAAAAAAATAAAATTTTGAGATTAGTCTCAAAATTCCTGAGGTTTTACTGGTACATTTTTGACTTTTACATTAAAATTTTACACTGGGAATATGCTGCTGATACATGTATGTTCTAGAAAATACAATAAATTTTCATCAAGCATTTCCTCAAGTAAAATTAAAAAGAACAGAGTAGTAAAAGTACTACAAAAAGTTTTTTCCAAAAAGATTACTCTTGTAAATGTACCTAACTCGAATTTACTGATATTTGATAGTGGCGAAAATAGTAAGAATTAAATTTTTGATAATACCTTGTTTTTTGATTTAACATTAAATGAAATTTATCGAGACGACAATAAATCAAAATCCATATGATAATTTTTCCACTATAAATTCTCACCCCTTCAGATCTGGAAAGTTATGGACTCTGGACGTAGAAAATGGGGATTAAATACCAAATATTGTTAATGCCAGCAGGAAGTTGGTCCGATGAACCAACAGGACGCATCGACCTGCAGCTGCCCTTCCTTTCACCTCCCGCTTCTCTCCAACAAGCATCAGCATTTGCTTAGATGAAGGCCAAATAAACGCCTTTGTGACTAAAAACATTTATTGTAAAAAAGACACTGTACAACTTTTAAATTAGATTTCTCCTGGAGAACAGCTAAATTAAAAAATAAAAAAAATCCAGCACATTACTGTGAAATATCCTCTGGCCCACCTTCAGACGTTAATCTGAGTTTGTGTCGTCAGCCGTATGAACGCCTCGCCTGTTGGACATGTGGGACCGGATCCAGGCGCAGCACTTACAGTAATTGAGTAAAGCCTGCCTGCCCTTTCAGAAAGCGGCCTCATTAACTTCTCCAAACCGCCGCGTGTTCCCGGACAGAAATACTGAACGGACCGCAGTCAGCAAAACAAACCGAACCTCACATCAGGGTCCAAACCGCAGAGAGAACCAGGAAGAAAGGGCTGCGCGATATTAACAAGAAAATTGGACTTTTTATCGTCAGAGAACCGATTTACGATCTTAATTTATTTTTAATAGTAATAAAAATACATTAATTTAAAAAAGTGTGATGAGTATTAGGGCCATATTAAGATTAAAAATAAAATAAAGTTACGAGATTAAAGCTGCAATATTATGATAATAAAGTTTAAATAATACAAGAATAAAGTTGTAATTGTACAGTAGTTATATTTCAAGACTAAAGTAAATATTTCGAGAGTAAAGTTGTACAAAAATAAAGTCAAAATAATACAATAAAATTGTAACACTATGAGAATTAATTCGTAATATTACAAAAACAAAGTTGTAGCGATAGTCAAAATTTAAAGAATAAAGTTTCAAGAATAAAGTCATATTTGAGAATACAGTTGAAATATAATAGACATAATATTTCCAGATTAAACTCAATATTATGAGAATAATGTAATAATTTCAGAATAAATTAATCAATTTTATGACCATTTTGGTAATACTACGACTTTTTTCTTGTATTATTTCTACTTCAGTCTTGTACAATATTATTCTTGTAATTTTATTATTTTTGTTTTCTTATAGTGACCCTAATAAAACTTTATTTTCCAAAAATAAAGTTTTCAAAACCAAAAATTCGATTAATTGATAAAATTGATTTATCGCCGAGCCCTAAAAAGAAAGGAAGAAAGAAAAAAGTTTAAAATCATAAATTCAGTACTTCGAAAGAGGCAGAAAGAAAAAAATGTTACGTAGCCCCTTTAAAACAGCAACTTTATAAATTCATAAAACATTAAATCTTAAATATTTATTCAGTGTAAAAACATTTGACATTTCATCAAATCCATCCAGTTACTAAAAACAAAACTTTAAAACCCAACAACTCAGTGCTGAACCTCAACAATCTGCACCACAGTTCTGGAAAACGTCGCTGGGTCGACGTCCTCGCCGCACAGCGCCGCCGCCGGCTGCAGGACGGTGTGCAGGTGCGACTCGTAGCTGCTGTCGTGCATCCAGGGACACGGCCGGTGGAGCAACTCCTTGTCGAGCTCGCCGCTCACCGGTGGCGCCGGCGCCGACAGAAGGTCGCGGTCCCAGTCGGAGTCCGACGACTCCGCGGCGCGCGTTGCCAGGTCCGGGATGAGCGCCGGCTCGATGCACTCAGAGGCCGAATGGGGATGCGAACGCTCAGCGTCTCGATCTGAGATTGCAGCTGGAGGTTTTTTGTCGTCTCCAGGGAAACCGAAGTCTGCTGAGTCAATCTGAAACAGAGTCGGAGTGAAATTCTGAGCGGCAGAGACGGAAAATGAGCTGAGCGTCTCAGGGAAACGTTGCCGCACTGGATCAAACAATAAACGGTCCACAGCGTTCGCCATGTTGTCAGTTTGTGGTTTCAACGGGAAGCGTCCGTTCTCGGCCGTCCTCCTCCTCTTGCTGCTCCTGTGTTCAGGGCTGGCCGACCTGCAGCGCTTCCTGGGGTTTGGTGCTGCCGCGGACAATCGAGGGAATGAACTCCATCTACTCGAAGGCCGAGTGGGAAACTTTACACCCTTTTCTTCCTCCAAACCATCTGAAAACGCAGGAAGTAACAAAGGCAGGGGAAGCGCTGACCCACAAGTCTGTAATCCATGAGTTTCCTCTGAGCTAAACTTCTGAGGACTGAGAATGGGCGGTTCTGGGTACGGGCTGTGTGGATCCATGATGCTGTGGGAGTGGGGAACCTGTGGGCTGAGAACCGGCGGCAGGGAGTACGGATCCGGAGCGTCCGGACAGGAAGTGTCCAGCTGTTGGTCCAGAGGCTCAATGGTGAGGACAGGCATCGTCGGGCTGGACGCCTCAGGCTGGACGTGGCTGTCAGTCGGGTCAGAAGAAACGTTTCGGCTTGTAAATTTTAAATCTGCTTGGTTAGAATCGTCTCGTTTGAGGTCCTGAACAGCGTCCTCCACTTCAGCATCAGTACAAAGTTCTAGTTCATCGACAGGCAGAGGAGTCAATGCTCGGCTGAAGAGAGAGAAAAAAAAGAGAAGTTGAGGAAAACTGAAGAACTGTGGTTTAAAAACATCAACTGTGCTTTACAAAAGTAAGACGGAGTATTAGGGCCACACTAAAAAAATAAAACAAATTAAAACTATGAGAATAAAGCCAGTTCCCCCAGAAAACTTTAATGGCGTTAAGGCAGCCATTCATCCAGCGGCCTGTCGTGTTTTTGAGTTAAAAAATGTTTGAAGTTGACAGGAAGTTTGAAAATATCACTTCATAATTATGTATTATTGAAAGATTGGAAGAGTAACACCTGAACACCAACTATAACGTCTTAAAAAATGAAAACATTTTAAAAAGATTTAACAAATAAGCAATGCTGAGCCTGGAGGCCCGCCAGGCTTATAATGCACTGAAGGAAACCCTGAAACTCATAGTATTATTAGAATAAAGTCGCAGCATTATAGTATTACAAGAATAAATTCGAGTACAAAGCCGTTTGGAAATGAAGTGGTTATATTATGAGAATAAAGTCGGACAAAAATAAAGTAAATTTACAAATTCATTCTCTTAATTTAATTTTTTTTATTTTTCTCATTATGGCCCCAATACTTTGCTGTACAAAACTATTCATACCTGTTGAACATTTGGACCTTTACAACTGCAAACGTCAATCTAGATTTCTGTGGTTTTATTGATCAGGGCAACACAAAGTGCTGGAGGAGTATGAAGTGAAACGGAAAGTCTCACAATAATCAATTAATCAATTAATCGCATGAGGAATTAAAACGAGCTCTCATCTTAAACATCAAAAATAAAACAACCAAAAACAATAAATAAAAATGAAACAAAAATAAATAAAATTTTCTTTCATAAGAATATTAATAATCAGAATAGAAATCATTGATTTAATTAATGATGTGATTAATTGATTACTGCAACAGGTTTCCTGCGAGAAATGTTTATTTTATACTCCTTTACCGAGATGTAGAGAAAAATAAATAGATTCCATTCCATTTTATTTAAGGTCAACAGAGGAAAACAAATCTATGCAACATTTTCTCTATTATTATTTGGTAAAAATGCTGCATTTTCCTTCCACAATTATGCACCTATATATTGATCCATCACATGAAAAAACCCAACAAAAGCAGTAAAAAGGCTTAAAAACAAGTCGATATTTTTACACAGAGCTGTAAATATTGGTGAACTCTACCTTTGTTCAGGCTGCTGAGGTAGGTTTGGGTCGAATCCTGGAAGCATCGCAGCCACAATCTGATCCACGGATTCGTAGTTCGAGTCGTCGAGCACAAACGAACGGTGAGCGTCCGACTGTAAATGCTGCAACGGCAAAAAACTATGAAAGCTGCAAAAAATATAAAAATAGAGACAAAGGAAGAAGAAAGACTCCCACCTCCTCCAGATTCGCAAACGTTTCACGACAACATTCGCAGTAGGAAGCGTCTTTT